TAGAGCCAGGTAGCACCGCTCGGAACGGGTCTCATGATAGGTTGAGAAAACAATGGACAAACAATAGATAAGTCTTCCAACAATATAACAAAACCTAACCTAACAATAGTGGTGCTGTACTTAAGGAGCAATCAAAAAGCAGGTTTCAATTGGTACTGCATTACTGATGACGCATACAGCAGTCACGCAAAACAATTTACAAGTGAAACTACGCAGAATACTACAATTTCGAGTTCTGGTTTGCTCTGTGTTAGCCTCAAAACCAAGTAACATATTCTTTTGTTTTATTGATAGCCTGTGAAAAYGCATGGAATTTGAAAAGGAATACAATAGAATTGATATGAAATCTCACACTTTTATTCTCACAATTACGAATATTTTGCGCACAAATGAGGCTAACACAGAGCATTGGAGAATTCGAAACTGGATTATTTCGCTTGCGCTAGTGGTTCCACTTGATTTTTGAGCATTTTTGACGTCAATTTGATTGTCAATAAGAGTTGTAGACAATGGAAATTTACTTTTAGTGTTTGCAAAAGCCATGATAGCAGTTTAAGTCAGTTATAACAGTGCAAACCTGTATTTTCATCAGCCAATGAGAATGAATTCATGCAAATGTAAAAATTAAATTGTTTAGCTATTTGTTGAAAAGTCGCATTTGTCATTATTTCATCACTATAAGCTGAAAACAATAAGATATCCCAATAAATAGTCACTTTGAGTGAAAATGACTTTATCATTGACTTCATAAAGCACCTTTTATTTGCATATCAATTTATACTACATTGTAGGCCTATATACATGTACATGTGTACCCGGCGTAACTAATCGATGAAATCTATTAATCGATAAAATCGATACTAATCGATATTAATCGTAACTAATCGATCGATTATTATCGGAAATCGATAAAAATCGATATTCAGCTTTGCTGTGATTATCGATTTTTATCGATTTTTATCGATTTTTATCGATTTCCTATCTCTTTCGTTTTGTACTGAATTTACTTATAAATGATTACGCTGAAGACGTTATTAACTCTATCATGGGATGTTGAGGTTTATTATTAAAAAACTTTTTTCATTTATCAAAATCACAACAATTAGAATAAATGCAAAACTGACATGAA